CTTTCCTTCCAGCTCTACCTGGGAGAGAATGATGGTACCCGTCAGGGATATGGAGATAAATAGGCATTGATAAATATTAAAAACATCGGTTTAAAACTTAATTTAATAAAGTACATTAAAATAGTACTGAAAACAATATTAAGTAGCATTCACTGAAAGGTCACTGTGTGTGTAGAATGTTGTCCACACAGAGTTCCATCCGGGCTGGCTGATGGAGAGGATTTTGTTTTTTATTTGTGGGTTTAATATTCCAGACCTTTGTAATGATAGCTTGGATAATGTATTGTGAGATCCAGTTTAGAGAAAACTGTTTATATACTATATATTTCTTTTCTCTTAGATCCTTTTATTTACTGAATGACACAAGCATATTTCTTAATGAAGGATTTGTTTACAATTTTTTTTTTTGAGATACGGTCTCACTGTCTCCCAGACTGGTTGAACTGCTGGGCTCAAGAGATCTTCCCGTTTTAGCCTTCAGAGTAGCTAGGACTATAGGTACATGCCACCATGTCTAGATAACTTAAAAAAAATTTTTTTTTGTAGAAATAAGGTCTTTCTATGTTGCCCAGGCAGGTTTTAAATTCCTGACCTCAAGCAATCCTCCCACCTCAAATTCCCAATGTTCTGGGATTACAGGCATGGGCCACCATGTCGATCCTCTTTACAGTTTTTCAAACATCTCTTCCTCTGATTTGTTTAAAAGTTGTTTTTTAAAAAGCTGTTTCCAAACGCTGGCTTTGAATAGAGTAGCTCTATTTTTCTCTATTTATGCCTCAATGTGTTTCACAAAGTCATAAGAACATAAGATGTGCTTCAGACACTTTCCTATGGTTCAGTAAATGTAATGAAAATGTATTTGAGGCTTAAATATTTGTTTTAATATTACAACACATTGGGACCTAAACTCAGTCGGTATTTCCATGCAACCTAATTTTACTATAATGCAAATTTGCTGTTTATATATAAGCTGCTTTTCTGGACTGTGAGTGTCTCTCAAAGGAAGAAAGAACTATGGAACACTGACCTATTCCACAAACACTTACTGAGCACTAACTATGTGTCAGGCTAGATACTGGTGACACAGTGGTGAACTAGACTCATGACTGCAGCTTATAGTCTAATAAGAGAGATAGACATTAAACAAATAATTATTTACTTTGTAATTGAGGTAGGTGCTACATAAAATGGGGACCTAACCTCCTCTCAGAAATTAGCATGAGGAAGTGAAATATAAGCCAAGATGTGAAAGATAAGAAGGAGTCATCCAAGGGGACAGTGGAATGTTCTTGCCAGCATGCAAACGCCCTGATGTATGAAAGAACCTGGCAGGTTCACGGAACAGGAGAAGGCCAGCATGGATGCAGAATCCTGAATGAGGAGGAAAATCAAGTCCAATCATAAATCAGTCAGGCCAGGGTAAAAATTTGAGGTTTCATCCTAACAGCAATGAGAAGCCTTTGAAATGTGCTGAGAGAGAAGTGATATGATTTTATCTGTGATTTGAAAAGATGGCTCTGATTGCAAGATGCAAAATAGATTAGGAAGAGTGAAGAATGACTGTTGCAATTCTTCAATCAGGAAGATGGCTTTGGATTAGGCCAGTCATAGTAGCGATGAAGATAAGTTGGGAGGTAAAAGAAATATTTGAAAAATTGAGGACTGATTGATAGGGTGTCATGAAATGAGGGACAGGTGATGTGAAGGATCCAGGGAGAAATGATGTCGAGGATCCAAGCTCCTGGATGGAGGGTAATGCAGTCACGGAGATGAGCTGCTCTAGGGGAAAAGAAGGCTGGGGGACAAGACGAAAGATTCAGCCTGAACATACTGACTTTGAAATGACTTTAAGAAATAACTATGGAGACATCAAGTGTAAAGGTGGATACATTGGTGTAGAACTTCAAGAATGCCTGGGCTGTAGACTGTGAGCATGCAGTTGGTAAATGAAGCCGTAGAAATGGATGGCCCAGGAGCAAACCTTGAGGATGCTGCCTGACATTTCAGGTTGACTAGAGGAGGAAATGCTGGCAAAGGAGATTACAAAAGAATCCTCATGTTCAGGAGGAAAACTGTCAGAGTGTGATGCTGCCAAAGCCAGCAGACAACAGCAATTCCAGAAGGAGACTACCAACTATACATTGAACTACATACTGTAGCATATAGTACAGTATGCAGTTTCAGTAAACACCTATTCCACAAGCACTTACTGAGCACATAGTGTAAGTGCTTGTGGAATAGGTAAGTAATCCATAGTTCTTCCTTTCAGAGGCACTCATAGTCTACCACAAATTTGTATTACATTGTAATTAGATTTCATGAAAGTACTGACTGAGTCTAGGTCCCAATATGAGGGATGTTATCCTAATGTGTGGGATGGTGTTAAAACAAATGTGGCTCAGGAAAGGAGCCCTGAGGAGAAGGAGGTAACTACTTTGAGAAGTTTGCTCTGAACAAGAAACGGGGAACAGCAGCTAAGGGGCATGTGGGATCCAAGTAGAGTTGTAAACTTTCGTTTTCTCTTTTGCCTTTGTTTTTATGATGGGGAAACTGGAGTATGTTTAAATGTTGGTCAATAGTCAAGGAGCGATTAAAATACCTCATAGCTTACAGATCCTGGAGAATGGGAGGTGATGAGATCAAGCATAGATGGTGAGGGATTTGCTTTGGAGAGGGGAAAGTGCGCCCCACACTGCCGTGGAAAGGAAGGAGGGGAAGTGCTGGGCAGGCGCTAAGGAGGCGCTCTGTCCACGGGCTCCCAGTCCTCAGTTAGCAGGGCTGAGGCTGCAGGCCAGTGGCAGTGTGGGAGACAGGTGTTTTGATAACACCTCGTCTGCATGATGCACATTTTTCCCCCAGGAGAACTTAGTTTTGCAAAACATAGAGCAGCAGGTTGTTTCGGGTGATCCGTGGTTGGCTCTTTCCCACCCCCGCCCCACAGCCAGACGTGATTAAAAAGTCAGAGAGCAACAGAGGATCAAATAATTGATAGAATCTAAGTTAGACAAGGAAAGGCGGTTGTGGCCCCTCAGAAGGGACTGAGGAAGAGGAGAAGGGAAATTAGTGGCCTGGAAACTCCACCGACGTTGAAAACATCAGCAGCAGTTGGGCACCTGAGCACACACGTGTAGTATGGGAGGATACGATTTTGTGGTCAGGTGGGGTTTTGGAAACAAAGCCATTTTGGGTGATGACAAGACCCAGAGGGTTTTCTTTGTGTGGCCCAGATGAGTTGGGGGCCACCGGCTCAAGGAAGTGACTGATGTGCTGGGGTGGCAGAGCGGCAGGATGAGCACATGGGGCCTGAGTGTGCCTGAGCAATTGCCAGAGTTGGGAGAGAGCAGAACGTGGAGAACCAGTGCCGAAGTCTTCCCTGAGTGATGTGGAAACAGTGGGCAGATGGTGGAAGCCCAAGGCAGCAGACTCAGAAGAGGAGCCTCAGAGGTGTGGCCCCGAGGAGGCACAGAGAGGAAGACTGGCCTGACTTCCCTACCTCTCTGGAGGCACGTGACCCCTGTGGAGGGCTGTGGGAAGCCACGTCTTCAGCCCCATGAAACCAGGACTGGGAAATGGGGAATACTGAGATGAGGAGGAGGAAGTAGGGAATTTGTTGGACAGGAAATGGAAGTCTGAGAGCTGGGAGGGGAGAAGGAAACTGTGGGATTGTCAGGGAAGTAAGGCCGAGAACAGCAGGAGGTATGAGATGGGACGTTCCAGGAACTGATACGTGTGAGAGTGCGTGTGTGTGTGTGTGCACATGTGTATATGTGTGTGTGTGCATGTGTGTTTAGGGGGCAGAGAATACTGAGGAAAATCACAGAACAGGGCATGGAGGTTTTGCTACTGATAATATTTAGATGTAGACTGTCTCTTTGGATTGACAGACTGGTTGGCATGGCTAGAGTACAGTGCAGTGCAATGCAGTACAGTATATAGTACAATATAGCACAGTGTAGCTTACAGCATGGTGTAGCATAGAGTATAGTATATAGTACACTGTAGCTTATGGTGCAGTGTAGTACATCGCATAGTATATAGCACAATGCAGCATATAGTGTGGTGTAGTGTATAGTACAGTATAGTGTATGGTATAGCATATAATACAGTGTAGTGTATAGTACAATATATAGTACAGTGTAGCATATAGTACAGTGTAGCATATGGTACAGTATAGCAGTAGTATAGAGTAGCATAATGTCAGTTCTTTCTTTGCCTAGCTTTGACAGCCACTTGAGTAAGTGTGCTGTAGGTCCATGTTTGCCATCTTCAGCACACCCTGTTTACTAGCCTGGTTTCTGTCCAGTATTCCAAGATCCTTGCTGTGGTTGAGTGGAGGCTTCACCGAAGACCAGAAAGCAGACCTTATGTACTTGTGTTCTCAGCTCGTGGCTGTATTGCCTATGCCATTATTAATCTCTGAAAGAAATAAGTGAATGTTCTCGTATCTATTTTTAAAAATTTCTCACGCCTGCAATCCCAGCACTTTGGGAGGCCTAGGCGGGCAGATTGCCTGAGTTCAGGAACTTAAGACCAGCCTGGCCAAAGTGGTGAAACCCTGTCTCTACTAAAAATACAAAAATTAGCCGGGCATGGTGGTGCACGCCTGTAATTCCAGCTACTCGGGAGGCTGAGGCAGGAGAATTGCTTGAACCCAGAAGTCGGAGGTTGCAGTGAGTCGAGATGCACCACTGCACTCCAGCCTGGGTGACAGAGTGAGACTTAGTCTCAAAGAAAAAAAAAAATTTCTTCAAGGCCTATTCATTTATTCCTTTTCCTCTCTCTCTGATATGGACTGTGCTGTTAGTGTTATTTATTACAGCACTGGTATTTTCTGCTAAACAATTTAATATTACTAATGCATTGTAAGTCACCTGTAAGTGGTTTTCGGTGAAGGTTTGTTTTTAATTTGTAAAGTCTTAATTAGCATCATTTACATATTTCAGATTCGCAGTCTTCTTTAATGAGAGTGTTTTCAAGGCATGTTCTTTTACTTCCTGAAGGAACGAATGACCTGAAGATCCTTCCAGGTCAAGCTGTCTGTCCTACTCCTGGGTGCCGAGGAATAGGCCATATCCGTGGTCCACGTTATTCAGGACATCACAGGTAACATTTTTCTTACTTAAGTTATTTCCCGGATGAATGGAAACATTCTGCAGATTAGCAGCTATGTGGAGCATCATGAATGAGTCTCATGGAGCCAGCTGCCCCTGTGACACTCCCACGTCTGTGTTGCCGAGGCCCTTCCTTGACATTTTCCTCTGCCTGCATCTCTGCCCTTCTAGAACCTTCTTGGAATTATGAGGTGTTTCCCAGACCCACTTCACGTCCCAGAATCTCTGTTTTGCAACAGTTTTCCTACCAAATGCACACTGTCATACACCCCCACTACCCTGTCCTGAGACTTGCTTTCTTCCAGAGAAATTCCAGAGCCTCTTACCTTTTCCACTCATTTTCTATTTCCTGCCTCTATTTCCTTTTCTCTCTTTCTTATTCATTTGGAGTTAATTCTATAAAAGAATAGAAAACTAGTGTGAAGTTATATTGCAGAATATGCCCAGGTTTTAAGTATTTGACAATGTCCATATGAACAGATGTTGCTTTTAAAGAAAAATAATACAAGTAAATATGTAAGCCTTTGCTTCTTTTTCTATCCTCATCAATTGGTAAATAATGTATAGATAAATTATTTATACTGGTGATCTAGAAACAATATATAAATTAAGACAAAGAATTAATATCAAATTTGTTCAAATACACAAATATATAAACAAACATCATAGAAAAGTTTATTATAAAGAGAAAAGATTAAGTCATATAATACATGAAGCAAGAAAAAATTTGTTTGAATAAAGGGTCTAAGTGTAATACAGGAAGTCCATGCTTTCTCAGGCAATCCTGGAAACTAGTGCCTAAAACATTTTTAACTGAATCAAAGGAAATGCCACCATAATAGTGATAAGCACTCCTAAATCACATACATGAATATAAATGTGATATGCATAAATCTATTAACACTTAAAAGAAAAAAATATAGCATCCATTAAACAAAAGAAAGACATGAAGACTGCTTGGTGACTTGTGAAAATCTGTGGGACTCAGATTGTGAACGTGGAGCTGGACCTGGAGGAGACGTCTTAGTGCTAGCAGTGTCCAGTCTGCACGTATCTGCAGCAACTCAATTCTTGCCTCCTCAGAGGAAAGAATTCATTCCAGGGGCATAAGGCAGAGTGAGAGACTAAGGCAGAGTGAGAGACCAAGGCAAGTTTTTGAGCAAGAGTGAAATGTTATGAAAAAGTTTTAGAGCAGGAGCAAAAGGAAGTAAAGTGCACTTAGAAGAGGGCCAGGAGGGCAACTTGAGAGAGTCAAGTAAGCCATTTAGGCCTTGCCTTGGGGTTTCTATACATTGGCATAATTCCAGGGGTTGCATTTCTTCTGCCCTTGTTACTGGTGGAGGGAGTCCAGGTTCTTGGTGTCTGGCACAAAGAATTAGACAAAACACACACACAAAGCAAGGAAAGAATGAAGCAACGAAAGCAGAGATTTACTGAAAATGAAAGCACACTCCACAGGGTGGGAGCAGGCCCAAGCAGAGGGGCTCAAGATCCCCATTACAGAATTTTAGGGGGCCTTAAATACCCTCTAAAGGTTTCCCATTGGTTACTTGGTGTACACCCTATGTAGATGAAGTAGTGGGCAACAATCAGTCTGATTGGTTGTGGAAAGCAACGAATCAGAGGCTGAAGTGAAGTTACAAAGTTACGCTGCTATGCAAACATCTGATTGGTTGCTGTCCACAACTGGTTGCTGTCTACAACCAATCAGAGATACTTTCAATTTTCCATCTTTCATGCAGAAAAGCAGGGCGTCGGGGGTGCAAAGGGAGTAGCCTCTGGTCCTTTTGTTACTTGAGAGTGGATAGTTGGGGATTTTCTTTTCATTTAGTTCTAGGGAGTCAGGGTGAATTGGCCTTAGGTTTCCTGCCTCTAGACCCTATTCTCCTGCGTCACCCTGATTCTTCATTGGAGTGGACTGTCCACATGTGCAGTGGCCTGCCAGCACTTGGGAGGGACCATGATATGGTTTGGCTGTATCCTCACACAAATCTCAACTTGAATTGTATCTCCCAGAATTCCCACATGTTGTGGGAGGGACCCAGGGGGAGGTAATTGAATCATGGGGCCCAGTATTTCCCGTGCTATTCTTGTGATAGGGAATAAGTCTCACGAGATCTGATGGGTTTATCAGGGGTTTCCACTTTTGCTTCTTCCTCATTTTCCCTTCCTGCCACCATCTAAGAAGTGCCTTTCACCTCCCACCATGATTCTGAGGCTTCCCCAGCCATGTGGAACTGGAAGTCCAATTAAATCTCTTTTTCCTTCCCAGTCCACTGTATGTCTTTATCAGCAGTGTGAAAACAGAATAATACAGTACAATTGGTACCAGTAGAGTGGGGCACTGCTGAAAAGGTACAAGAAAAATGTGGAAGCAACTTTGGAACTGTGTAAAGGGTGGAGGCTGGAACAGTTTGGAGGGCTCAGAAGAAGACAGGAAAATGTGGGGAAGTTTGGAACCTCCTAGAGACTTGTCAAATGGCTTTGACAAAAATGCTGATAGTGATATGAACAATAAGGCTGAGACGGTTTCAGATGGACATGAGGAACTTGTTGGGAACTGGAGCGAAGGTGACCCTTGTTGTGTTTTAGCAAAGAGACTGGAAGCATTTTGCCCCTACCCTAGAGATCTGTGAAACTTTGAACTTGAGAAAGATGATTTAGGGTATCTGGTGGAAGAAATTTCTAAGCAGCAAAGCATTCAAAAGTTGACTTGGGTGCTGTTAAAAGCATTCCATTTTAAAAGGAAAACAGAGCATAAAAGTTCAGAAAATTCGCAGGCTGATGGTGCAGTAGAAAAGAAAAACCCATTTTTTGAGGAGAAATTCAAGCCAGCTTCAGAAATTTGCGTAAGTAGCAAGGAGCCTAATGATAATCCCTAAGACCATGGGGAAAATGTCTCCAGGCCATGTCAGAGACCGTTGTGGCACCCTCTCCCATCACAAGCCTGGAGGCCCAGGAGGAAACAGTGGTTTTGTGGGCTGGACCCAGGGTCCCTGTGCTGTGTGCAGCCTAGAGTCTTGGTACCCTGTGTCCCAGCTGCTCCAGCGGTGACTGAAAGGAGCCAACATAAATCTTGGACTATGGCTTCAGAGGGTGGAAGCCCCAAGCCTTGGCAGCTTCCAGATGGTGTTGAGCCTGTGAGTACATGGAAGTCAAGATTGAGGTTTGGGAACCTCCGCGTAGATTTCAGAAGATGTATGAAAACGCCTGGATGCCCAGGCAAAAGTTTGCTGCAGGGGTGGGGCTCTTATAGAGAACCTCTGCTAGGGCATTGTGGAAGGGAAATATGGGGTCAGAGCCCCCACACAGAGTCCCTACTGGGGCACTGCCTAGTGGAACTGTGAGAAGAGGGCCACTGTCCTCCAGACCCCAGAATGGTAGATCCACTGACAGCTTGTTCCATACACCTGGAAAAGCTGCAGACAGTCAACACCAGCCAATGAAAGCAGCCAGAAGGGAGGCTGTACCCTGCAAAGCCACAGGGGTGGAGCTGCCGAAGACCATGGGAACCCACCTGTTGCATCAGTGTGGCTTGGATGTGAGACTTGGAGTCAAAGGAGATCATTTGAGAGCTTTAAAATTTGACTGCCCTGCTGGATTTCAGACTTGCATGGGCCCTGTAACCCCTTTGTTTTGGCCAGTTTCTTCCATTTGGAACCATTGTATTTACCCAATACCTGTACCCCCATTGTGTCTAGAAGTAACTAGCTTGCTTTTGATTTTATAGGCTCATAAGCAGAAAGGACTTGCTGTGTCTCAGATGAGACTTTGGACTGTGGACTTTTGGGTTAATGCTGAAATGAGTTAAGACTTTGGGGAACTGTTGGGAAGGCATGATTGGTTTTGAAATGTGAGGACATGAGATTTGGAGGGGTCAGGGGTGGAATGATATGATTTGGCTGTGTCCCCTGTGAAATCTCAACTTGAATTGTATCTCTCAGAATTCCCGCCGTGTTGTGGGAAGGACCCAGGGGGAAGTAATAGAATCATGGGGGCTGGTCTTTCCCATGCTATTCGTGTGATAGTGAACAAGTCTCAGGAGATCTGATGGGTGATGGGTTTATCAGGGGTTTCTGCTTTTGCTTCTTCCTCATTTTCTCTTGCTCCCACCATGTAAGAAGTGCCTTTCGCCCTCCGCCGTGAGTATGAGTCCTCCCCAGCCATGTGGAACTGTAAGTCCAATTAAACCTCTTTTTTCTTCCCAGTCTCAGGTATGTCTTTATCAGCAGTGTGAAAATGGACTAATACAGGCCATATGCACAGTGCGTTTACTGAAGTTGTGTACATGCTCATTTGAGGCGTTTTCCCCTTACCAGTCGAATGTTCCTAGAGGAAGGTTACGTACCAGTTAAACTCTGCCATTTTGCCTCTTAGCAAACATGCTTGGGTCCACTCACCCAGCTCCTGAGATGTTATCAGGGAGCTGCTGATCACCAGTTTCAGGTGTTTCTTCTCTATTGGGAGGGTGCCGCTTCCTGGCACCAGCTGTGACCAATTATTATTTTAGATAGACAGTTTAACAACCACCTGACCATCACCTGATGGTAGCCTGGCATTCCTGGGGTAGGGGGCCTCTCCTGCCTTGCTCATGTCTGCCTAGCTGCCTCCATTTTTTTTTTTCACAATCTGTTCAATGTCTTGTACCTACTGTAATATTAGTGCTCTGTGAGGGGAGGAGGAAATGAGGAAAAAGGAAGGATGAGGGACAGAAGGGGAGAAGAGGGGAGAAACCCATGATTGGGAGGGTGCCCTGTATTAGCGAGGACTCTGCTGGAGTTGATGGGGCCACTTCCTAGACAGCACTAGGAGTATATAGCTGTGGAGATCGTCTTCCTCAGGCCTTCTGTTTGTGTGTGGGGGGAGTGTGTGTATGTGTGTGTGCGTGTGTGATCTAGAGCTGTAACACCCCACTATGGTACTCGCTGGTCACCTGCCTCTGTGTTCCTCAGGCACGCTTGGCAATATTTCAGATGCTCAGCAGCCCTTGTG